TGGTGTCGCTGAGAAGAGCATTGTATGATAAGCGTCCATTTATGGACCGAAGAACAGATAAGCAGCCATTCATTAAAATGACATTAAACAGTCTTGATTAAGATATTCCCTCCAGATTTGCACTCACACAAAAAATCAGATTAGTAACATCATCTAAAACCATGAACCGCATACTGTTTTTGCAAAATGCCCCCCTTTGCTATATATACTGGATAGCTAAAGTCCAGACTCAACACATTTAAACAAATTATTTGTCTTCTTGTTCATTATTTATTCTCCAGACTGAGGGCCTGTTAACCTCTCAGAGGAGAAGCTTGCTAACTCTTCCTCCAGTTCTCAGTCCCATGTCCTCTAGTCTTGAGAAGAGCCTGGACCTGAGTAACAACAACCTTGCAGGAATTCAGGGTCCAGCTGCTGGCCTGCTCGCGACTTAAGATCTCACATTTAAACTGGAAAACTCTCAGTCAGATCACTTTCAGTCATTTTTTTAAAATAAAAGAAAACTGTTTCTCATACTCTGGTTTACATATTTAACGTCTCTTCTCTGTATATATGCTGCTCTGTCTAGGATTTTTAAATTTCACAGTCCAGAAAATAGATAAAAACTGAATGTGCTGCGATATAATAAAATTCCATGTTACTGATGATCAGATCTTCACATTAATATATACAGTTATCACCAGAAATATATTAATCTGGGGTCGAATAGATTCGAGAAGATCAAATATTATTATGTAGATTTGGATCATTTGATCTTTTCATGATTATTGTTTTTCATCTTGATTCATATCACAGTCTCCAAACTGTTTGATTTGATATCAGCAAGGGAGAATTTCAAGTAGCTGAGCTAATGAGATTGCTGATGTTTGAACTGTATGACCAAAAGTCCAGACTCAACATTTGAGCACAAAAAAGACTCTTACGTATATTAAAACCGTAATCATGTGTCTATCGTTTATTCATTAAAAAATTACTCCAGACTGAGTTGTTCGTGTAACCTCTCAGAAGAGAAAGCTGTACCAGTCTCAGGTTCTCATGCTACCCATGGCCTCTAGTCTGAGAGAGCTGGTACTCTGAGTAAACATAGACAACCTGCAGGATTCAGATCGTAGAAGATCTTCTTTTTCTGGACTGAAGACTCCACATTCTAGAACTGGAAAACCTCTCAGGTCGGAACCGCCAGATAATCATATAACCCAACGATCAGCAAAAAACTGGTATGACTTATTAAAGTGTCATATTAAATTCAAGATAGGATATAAACAACCTAACTGTGTAGATTGTGTCTACGCAATTAAATATGATTTTGTCAAAAGGACCTTATAACTAAACAGTTGCTATGCAGTAGCTTTCTAGACTCGAGAGAACCTTCATATTCATAGAGATATGAATAGCTCACTCCTTGTTCTGGCTCATTAGTAGGGTAACCTACTACGAGGAAGGATTTTAACTACTATTATAATCAATAACACATTCCTTGTATCTGGACCAAAATGTACCTGAACAAAAACCAAAAGCACAGAGCCAAGTATTCACAGGGGGGTTCCTCAAGAACTGGTTTCAGGATAAAGAGCAGACTGGTTTCCTCTGTCTGGTGGCGACTTTGATAAACCACTGTGAAGTCACATTTTTCTTTTGTGAGTGCACACAGCGCTCTGCTCAAAGTCTTTATTGTCCCTTTTTGACCAAAGCTTCACTCTTCATAAACACATTGTAATGTTTTTAGCATGCTAGCAGCGTGGCTCTATGGATGGTAATGTGGGTCTGTCAGTCCGTCCTCCACTTTGGTCCAGACTGAAATATCACAACAACTATTGGATGGATTGTCATGAAATTTGGTACGGATACTCATTCCCCCTTCAGGATAAATTATAGTAACACTCTAGCAATCCACCACCAGTGTCACCATCAGTTTAGAATTTGTTGTTTATGAGTAAGACTA